CGCTTTTGTCAAGCTCTCCTAGTATATTTGCCCCTTTCTGGGTGAACTGTAGGCAGTGGGGTGTTGGGAAATCTTTACCAATAGGCTCTAGAAAAGGGAAAGCCTCCTTTGTAACATGATTTTCATGGTGTGAATCCTCCCCCCATGACCATTTTATACCAACAATATGACACCACTACATGTGGAGCTGGGAGAGCTGGGCAGTCACTCAGCAGTAGACAGTATTTCCAGCAGACAGACATGACATGACGTAAATATCCTCGGGCACAGATAGTAGTAAAAAGGAGTCAAATAACCATAAAGTGCTGAGTTTGGATATTTCATACTTTTGTTCTTAATATAATTTCATTTTTAATTGTGGCCATATACCATCCAGCTTGCATAATTTCTGAAAAAGCAGCATTTCACAGACACAGGTTTCCCGAGAGGACCTTCTTCCTCTAGTCAACACACACCTGGGTGGCCTCACCAAGCACTCAGGACACCAAGTGCTCCAGCCAACCCAGGCAATGCAGGGAGACTCTGAGGTCAAGGGTTTCATCCCCCACAGGAAACAACCGTGGGCTGGGCTGCCCCTGGCTCCCACACACCGGAAGCTACTCAGGTGCCAGCAAACCTGCAGAGGATAGAACCTCTGCCCAGGGCAGAACCCCTTGCTGGCCACTGCTGGGATCCAGATGCCAAGGACAGGGCTGGAGGGGACAGGATCTCAAGGGGCTGAGGGATGCCACATTTAGCCTGTGGTAGGGACCAGGCAGAAAGGGGAGCGATCCATCACTCTGTTGTCAGACAGTAGATTAGATTCTATCCCCTTAAAGTAAGGAAAAGGGGCCAGGGCAGGCTTTCACAATAGTCTTTTATTACAGCTGGAAACTGTGGAACCCCTTCCTATAATGGACAACGGACTGACACGCACAGTAAACACAGTAACAAGTCCCTCAGGAATAAAATAGCTCCAAGGTTGTTCTGCAGCGCCCTCTGGCATTGGCAGGTGGGATAACAGGAGAGTGGTGAGATGGTATGGTTGGAAGGGGCTGGAAGGCAGCCTCTGTCCCTACAAGGACACAGGAGACAGCTCAAAACAGGTGCCATGTGGCCCAGCCTTGTGTTCTCCTGGCCCCTGGTTGTCAGTCACTCTGCTGAGGGTGGAGCCCAGGGCAGGATCGCTGGGCTCTGAGCAGGTCCTGGAGGTGCAGAGAGCTTGGAGGGGCCACCACAGGTCCAGTGAGTAGTCCCATGGGGCCAGCTGGGGTATGGGTGTGTTGTAGACATCACAACCCTCTTGTAACCCCTCCTTTTGCACCTGGTATCACAATCCCACACAGAAGCTGCAGATAGGAGTGTGACTGATGCAGTTCTCTGTGCAAACTCAATGTGAGGCCAGCCCTCCTGGACTCATGGTTCCTTGGGGATGATGGAACGTAGATGCTGGAACCCAGGACCAGGAGTCAGTGACCCCAACTCAGACCCCAGCTTTGCCACTCGCTGCCTGAATCCTGTGCAGTTCTGTGCTGACTCACGTCTCTCAGCCTCAGTTTCCATCCCTGCCAGGTGAGAATGATAATACCTGGCCACACAGAGGATTAGAAGATTATGTCCAAGGTGCCCAGCTGGCAGAAGATGCTTAATCAGTGTTTCCTCTGTGGCATGTTCTTATGGATGGCAGAGACTGGGGCAAATGTGAATCAGCAGAAATGAGGCACTTCAGGTCAGTGGTACTTTGATAAGGTCTTTTGAGACTTGGAAAGTAGGTCTTTCAGGACCATTCAGAGCAAGCCTGCCAAGACCCAGGCCCCAGGGTTCCCCTCATCCTCATCACAGGGACCCATAGCCTCCACTGCTCCTTCTTATGCACAGGGCACAGCCTGGACTCTTTCAGAGGGACTTAAGGGGCCCTAAACCAGCAGCTCTCAACCTTGGAACAACCTGAGTCTGGTGGGTCACCAATCTCCAGACCTACCCCTTGGTTAGATTTTCATCTAACTGTCCCAGGTGCAGCCTGGCAGCAGTAGCTTCAAAAGCCCCTGGGCCATTCTCATGTGCAGTAGAGCTGAGAACCCTTGCCTCAACCCATAGTCTCAGTTGCTGGGAACCACAGCCACTTGGTGTCAGCCCAATCCTCCCTGAGGGTGATTTGCGTGGTGGAGGGGTCGCTTCACCCAATCAAGGCCACTCCTCTGTGTCCCCTGTGACTGGACCCTCAGTTACACTCTGAAAGCTTTACTCCAGAGCCCCTGTCACCAGTGGCCCTGTCTTCTACTCCACCTGTCACCTGGACCTCACTGCCTCTTGCTACCAAACTCATCTCTCCCTGATAGCCACACACTTGGCTGGGCCCTGCTGACAAAGGGGCTTTTACCTCCTTCCTTCAGGGGCTGCCAGGTGGCTAAGACTGTGGTGGTCATCTGTGAAGAAGCACTAAGGAGAGAGGACACTTCAGGAGGTGGAAATGCTTCCAGTAGAAATAAATTTCCCCTTTATAATGGTGGGGTCATGCATGACCCCTCTTTGTATCCACAGGTCCAAGCACAGAACCTGATTTGTGGCTGGCACCCATTGGGATGACTCAGGGCAAGCCTGCTGAGTCCCCAGCCCCAAGGTGCCCCTCATCCTCACAGCAGGACCCATAACCTCCACTGCTCCTTTTCAAGCTCAGGGTACAACCTGGACATACATGAATGAATGAATGAATGAAGGAAGGAAGGAAGGAAGGAAGTTGGGACTCCATGTTGGGTTCCCAGCCTCTGAACTTTTTGTGGATTATCAGATGTCTGACTTGTTACTTTGTTCCTCTGATAGATGTGTAACTCCAACCTGCACACCACTCCAGATTCGTGCTTCTTCTGCATCTGCTCAGATCCAGTCCTGGGCTGGTGCCTATATTCCATCACACTGACATTGCTTTTCAGGTCAGACTCATGGTTACAGGGTGACCCTCAAGGCTTTTCTTAACTGCCCCAGCCTGGGAGGTTAAGGGTAAGTGACCCTCAACCTCCCAGGCTGGGGCAGTTAGGGAAAGTGTGAGAGGTTAAAGGTAAGTGTAGGAGGTGATGGCAAGGAGAATGAAAGCCTGGAAGAGTCAGTCCCTGGGGCACCCTAGCTCCTCTGAATCCTGGTAGGGCCCAAGACTCATCCTGCATCCCATGGAGGCTCACACCTCTCACCGCAGTTGCAAGGGTGGGCAGCTCTCGGGCAGCCCTAGTCAGAGTCTACAGCTATGACCAAGTCTCTGTTGGAATTCTCTGTCTCCTTGTCCTGGGGTCTCCCCTGCAGCTGTTGCCCTGCTGGGATCTCACGCAGCTCAACTCACACATCTAGAGTTATTTTGTCTTGGCTGTCCCCACCTGGGACAGGGGTCCTAACGTTGCCTTCATGGGGCAAACATTGGTATTGCCAGGGCAGTACACAAAAGCTCCCATTCCTGCCAAGCTTGCCTAGGAGTCCTGAGCCTGGTTTCACTCTGATTTTCTAGGCAAATTCACTGCTTCCTTGGAACCCAGCTCATCCCTTTGTTTCTTCTGAACTCCTTGGGTGACCTGTCAATCCCCTTCTCTCTAGAGACTTCCTGCAAACAGGACTCCCTTCCTAAGGGATCTAAGGAGTTTGCTTCTTTCCCTGAACCACCCCAGCCCGCAGTTCTGCAGATGTCAAAAACCAAAAGAGGCAGATCCGTAGAGAAGTGGGAGCTCAGAGGCCGACCAATGGTGCTGCATGTTTTCCTTCCCAGTGTGAAGGCCGCCACAGCCAGGACCACAGCCAGGAAGACCCCAGCAGGGATGGCAGTGCTGTGATAGCTTCCCTGGGAGCTGGCCATCTCCTCCACATCAGCCACCAACAGGTCTAGGAAGGAGAGGAGATCGCAGTAATAGAGTAAGGACAAGGATGGAGGCTGGCAGAGGAGAAGAGGAAGACAAGCAAAGACCGTGGCCCCTATGCATGGTAAAGGCAGTCAGAACTGTTTGGTGGCAAGGGGTAAAAAACTTGGAAAAGGAAGTGCTAGATGGGAAACTGAGGACAGACCGCAATGGGCAGCTGAGTGTCAGACTAGAGAGATTTCACATTTGTCAGCCAAGGAGAGTCAGGGAAGGTTTTCTGAGCAGAAACTGGGAACTGGGCTTTGGGAGAACAAATCTAGCCTGAGGCTCCAGATGGATAGGAGGGGATAGAGTTGGGCATTTTAGATCAGCTGGAAAATGATCACAAGAGTTCTAGGTAAGAGGCCCCCAGGATGTGAGCTACTGCAGCGGCTGCAGGGAACAAAAGGGAGAGGAGGAAAGTTAGCCCGTGCCCGCAGGTGCCGTCGCCCTGCCCTGCTGTCCTTTGCTCCTCACTCCGGCCCTGTTGCATGTACCATGCATGAGACTTACTCTGAATTGCATCTTTTCCTATAAGACTGTAAGCCCCTCAAGGGCATGGATTTGATCTACATCTGTTTATTGATCTGCCTCTTGGCACATAACAGGCCTTTATTAAACATGCATTGAATGAATGAATAAGTGAGGAAAGAGTGCGGAATCAGCTGGACATGAAGATAGCCTGAATAGGAATCAAGATGAGAGAGAGCTGTCAAAGATGCCCGTGGGCAGCGCCCTGACCAAGGAGAGGGTATGTGACAATTACTGCTGCCCCATCCACCCCCAACGCCATGGCCACCACGTCCATTGACCTGGCCCCAGCCTGGGCCAGAAATTCTGGGCATCACTCTGCAAACATTCATTCCCTCATCTCACACCTACAACACAGCCGCAGATGCGCTCCCTGTTCTAGAGGAGAAAAGTGACATGGCTCGTGCCGAGCAGAGCCTGCCAGTGGTCAGAACAAATCCATGCTGCTGGCATCCCCACAGCCCTGTCTAGACCCTGATGTCAACACGTCGGCTGTTGTAGTTATCATCATTGTGAGGAATACTGCCATCATGTGTTGTTAACATGGGTGAAAACAACAAGAGTAACAAAAACTACCATTTACCAAGCATTCAATGACTTGCACCAGGCACAGGCTGAGGCAGTTTCTCCAAAATTCCTTTATGTAACTCTCTCAACAGTGCTAAGAAGTAACAACATTTTCATTTTGCAAATAGGAAGCATGGGTTCTGGGAGGTCAGGTTCGTGGGACATCCAGGTCAAAACTCTCTGGACCATGCCCTTCAATGGGTCCTCCAAGGACTATGAGCCTTGGGGGAGGCGGGAACCAGGTCTGATTCAACTCTGTATGGCCAGGTGTATCACAGTGGAGTGCTCAAATTTGAGTTGGAACATGAAACCACGAGAAACATCCCAAGTCCCCAAGAGTCAGGGGTGTGCGCCCCGCTGGCCAGTGGAGTCTGAGAGCGACCACCTACCGAGGCTCCTCTTCTTGGCGTGGCGGGTCTGCAGCTGGATGGGACCCAGCACGACATCCACCTTTTCCTGGTAGGAGCCCACATCCCTCTTGGACCTCACCACGCAGCCTCGGTAGCAGCGGGAAGAGTAGTCATACGCTCTGCACACCACCATTTTACACTGCAGGTACACGGAGGGGAAGCGGCTCAGGAAGTGGAAGGCACTGAACCGGAAGCGGGCAATGCCAGGAGACGGCTGTGAGTAGGGCCGGTAGCTTTCATCCTTCACGCATCTGAAAGAGAACAGCAGCCCCTTAGCTCTCACCAAGGCATGATTCCTCATGACTCAGCCATGCCAGGTGAGAAACTCCACAGCCTGTCCTCACTGCCCTGGCATCCTGCATGCCTCACCTTCCTTCTGTCAGAACATGTGGCTCAGACACTCACTGCGGGGCCTACAGACAAATCCTGGCAACTGAGGTACCTCACTGGTATCTTTAGGCAGCAAATCCTGGGGGGGCTTTCCCAACAGATAAGCAGGCCCCATACTGCATAGTGGGTTGGGGCCTAATCCCACAAAGACCACATCCTCGATGGCCCCAGGTAAGCCAGGTGAGTCTGGGAAATAGCTGGAGTTTGGAGCCTAGGAGCAGGACCCAGAGACAGGGCAGAAAAGAAAATGAACTTTCCTTCTCTCTCCTGGTGCCAGAGCCAGGCAAGGTCCCATCCGGCCGCACTCTGAGTACAGTGTCCTGGCCCTCCTTCTCCCAAGACCAATCTCTCCTGACCCTCCTCAGCCTGCTCTGAGCTCCAAGAGCTGTACTTTCCACACTGGCCTGCAAACCCTCCAGGAGCCCCTACCCCAGTATCAACTCTATCCTCTTTCCCTCAGGCATCTCCTCTCAGGTGGTGTCAGAAGGAAAATAACCTCAGGATATACTTACAGGAATTTTCCTAAGATATGGAAGAAGCAGCTCACACTACCCCAGTTATTATAAAATGGTGGGATTTTGAAGGACATAGGAAAGAGAAGAGCCAGGACAGCTGGCCCACAGGCCCAGGATGGGCATTTCTCACAGGTGGTGGGTGTAGTCTCCAGGGTAGCCTGGCTGCACCCAGGAACCTGGCCAGGACCCACTCCCCTCCTTCTGTCTTCCAGAGCCTCCTTCCTTCCTCCATGTGCAACCCAGATTCTCTTAAACACTGAGATTTTTTTTTTCACAGCAGTTCCCTTAGTGGCAAAGGAGGAAGCAAAAATAGCCAGAGGCTTGTTCAGAGGTGGGGTCCTTGGGAAAAAGGTTAGGGTCACTCAGAAGCCTCCGGGCAGTCACTGTGTTTGTCATAAAACCCTACCATTCAGGGCTCCACACAGACCAGAATGCCACAGCCAGGCACAGCCAAGGCTACACCTTGGAATCACTCAAGGAGTGCTTTCAGTGGCCCAGAATCATGCACCTGTCACATGGTAAAGCTGTCAATTCAACCTTGGTCTGCTCCAAATCAATGCTTTTCCCACTATACACAGGTCTTTTTAACCCTATGGCTGGAGTTCAGTCACCTGGAGTCTAATCCCAGTTTACAGCTAACGTACTGGGTGAACACTGCTGAGCTCTCTATCCTCCCCAGGTGTTAACTGGAGATGATACACAGTCATCCTACCTGATGAGAAATCAGGGATGTGATACAGAACACAGAGTAAAAGCACTTCAAAAGGTAAAGCTGCAGGACGCTACTACACGTAGAAAGGGATCTAGTTAAGCTTGAAGCCCTGGGAACTGCAGTTCATCAAAATTCGCATTCCTTAAGCCTTTGAGGCTACTCGTGTTTGAGTTATCAAGTAAAGGTTTAAGGCCATCGCATAAAGACACTCCTTACCCGCTCCGGATTAGATCATAAGTCAAAGACGTGAAGTCATTGTAGTATGGTGATGCCACACAGGTGTCCACAAACAAGGCCAGCGTGGCATCAGAATGGAGGATTTCAGCCTGAAGGTACAAGTCCTGGTTCAGGTCCACGTAGTAAGGGCTGCTGGTCACAGGATACAAGAAAGAGGGGGAAGAATAAAAGGAAATGTTCACGTCGAAATTGCCATATTGCACTTCTTCGACCCGGATGGTGTCATTAGCAATGTACATGGTGTTGACCCAGGTGTTCTGAAGCATCCTGCAGCTGACGTGAATAAGGAGGTCCTTCCTCCTCTTGATGATGCCATGGGAGACAGCTGCTTTGAGGAAGTTGGAATAGTTGATGGTGTCATTGTCTACCTAGGAGGGGCAGGCAGGAGAGCAGAGTCAGGCACATGTCACCTGCTAAGGGAATCCCATGGCTGATTTGGGTGTGAATGAGACGGACAACATGACGCTACAAGACTTCCACCTCTCCCAGAACCACTCAGAGATGGCGTGTGCCTATCCTTTGGCTACGAGCAGGCAGAGGGCGCCAGAGTCCACACTCTGGGTCCAGGTCTGGGGAAGAGCCAAATGAAGGGGTTCTGCGTTCTCCACCTGCTCTTAGTGTATGTTTTCTGACTTTAAACTGTCTTTAAAAAAGGTTTTTTTGCTTTATATTCCAGTGCCAACAGTTGTCACAATAAACCGTATGACTTAACAATCAACCATATGACCCTTCTTACTCTTTCAAAGACACTCTCAAGAGCTTTCCGTTGAACTCTATATATTAACATAAATATTTGCGTGGATGTCACATTTGCATATGGCATCTATGATGGAAGTAAACTCTGAATCCACTCCAAGCAATGCACATGGAATGCAGATTTATTTCTTGGTCAGAAGAAGCAGATCTGATTTTAGATTAAAATCCATTATTAGATACTGCTCAGTTTGGAAGGAAATCAGTTTGGTATGTAATGGAAAGTCTTACAGATAAGTCAATGGGTATTTCCACAGAGACAATCCATCTCGTGGTGGGAGGGCCTCATCTAGCTCAGCCACACCAGCAAACTTTTATCACATACCTGCTAACCAGGCCAGCCTGGTGCAGCTGTAGGGAGCTCCAGCCATGGATCGCCCAGCCCTACGTCTGCGTCTAGACTCACGGGTCACGGCCATTATTGCCTTGGGCAAGTGGCTTACCTTCTGCAAGTCTTTGTTGCCTCATAATTAAGTGGGAATAAAGTTGTCCTGATAATTTTAAAAGTCAGATAGCACACTTGGTTCAGTGCCTGGAATCCATATGAGCTGTTGATAATACTATATCAACTCTTAGGCTCAGGACTGGAGTACTGGGGGTTGCAAAGATGAACAAAACATTGGCCCTGCCCCTGAAGCACTCAGTGTGATAGGCAATATGAGTATTTAAAGAAAACAGAGGAGGCCAGGTGCAGTGACTCATGCCTGTAATCCCAGCATTTAGGAGGCCAAGGCAAGAGGATCACTTGAGCTTGGGAGTTCGAGACCATCCTGGAACACATAGCAAGATCCCACCTCTACAAAGAAAAACTTTTTAAATTAGCTAGATGTGGTGGTGCATGCCCATAGTCCCAGCTACTCTAGAGGCTTAGGCTGGAAGATCACTTAAGCCCAGGAGTTCAATTCTGCTGTGAGCTATGATCTGCCCCTGCACTCCAGCCTGGGCAATAGAATGAGAACCTGTCATTAAAAAGTTAAAATAAAATAAAAATAAACAAGTGGAGGAATAAGAATGTGGCATGTGCTGTGCATGACCAGCCAAGCGGGCAGAAACGGGGCGACAGGGTTGTCTGGCTGCTCCAAATGGGTGTGAACGAGTGTGAATGGTTGTGAATGGGTGTGAACGGGTGTGAAGGGCCCTCAGCAGAACCACTGAAGTATCAGTCTCCAGGATGCATACTTGGCACAGGGGCAATGGTCACCTTCAGTGGACTGACCTCCATTGACCAAACTCACAACAAGCCAGAACCCAACACAATTAAGGCCGGCCACAGTGGCTTACACCTATAATCCCAGCACTGTGGGAGGCCAGAGCGGGTGAATCACCTGCGGTCAGGAGTTCGAGACCAGCCTGGCCAACATGGTGAAACTCTGTCTCTACTAAAAATACAAGAAAATTAGCTGGGCATGGTGGCAGGCACTTGTAATCCCAGCTACTCAGGAGCCTGAGGCAGGAGAATTGCTTGAGCCTGGGAAGCGGAGATTGCAGTGAGCCAAGATCGTGCCACTGCACTCCAGTCTGGGCAACAGAGGGAAACTCTGTCTCAAAATAAATAAATAAATAAATAAATAATCAACAAAATTAAGGTACAGGGTAAAATACAAAAGCCAGTTTGAATAGAACACATGTGTGGCATGCCCAATATACACTCATCTTTTTAAGTAAATCTACCTGGCCCATTAAAGTCCTCTCCAAAGCGGAAATGGTGTATTGGAGCCTAAGGGAGCCAGGTGACCACATGCCTGCTGCAGGCCCTTAGAACCAGCCTCCAAAGCCCAGGGGCCCAGCCAGCTGCTACATGAGAGTCCCTTTGCCCCTCAGTTTTTCTTGTGTGTCAAAGAGCGGGGTTGACTTTGCCAGGTAATGAACAGCATGACCTTGGCACCTAGCATGGTGCCTGCCACATGGCGCCTGCCACCCAGCAAACAATAGGACATTGGTGAATGAACATGATCCCGACAAGCCGAAGCCATCTGAATGTGTGTGTGCCAATGTGCATGCTCTGTGCCATTCATGCCGTGTATACTCTACACTCCCAAGCCAAATAAAAGCATTGGCAACTTTTTCTGTCTTTGCTTAAAATAATTATTTAGGTTCGAGACAAAAATTCAGAATTTAGAGTGGCTAACTTAGAATAAATTTATGCAAAGTTAAATGCCACTATGACAAATGTCCTGTTCAATGAGGCCTGATATATGATTGCTACAATAAGAGTCAGAGCAACTCCAGCCCAAGCAGCTCCTTCCTGCCCCTCTGCCATCTGCCCCCTCTGCTCTTCATCCCTACCACTTCCTGGCTGAGTAGCCTTGGTGATACCTCAACAAATGGTAGCTGCAGAGGCCAACTGACTGTGGAGCTAATGAAGCTGGAGCTTTGGGGCACCCTCTGCCCTGCCCGGTGCAATGTGCAGGCCTCCTCCAAGGCCTAGCAATGTTTTTGCACAGCCACACATTTTTACAAAGTTTATAAAAGTTCAGTCAGTTGGCCTCTGCAGCTACCATTTGTTGAGGTATCACCATCTGAGATGACTTCTGCATCCAATTCTGGGTGAAAGTGAGGCCAAAATGGTGTGTCCCTTCTCTACAGGCTTGAAGGTGGCTGCAACTATGATTATACTGAAATTTTCAACAGCTCCTACCACAGGTTTCTGTGGTTTGCCTGGGACTTTGCAGATTTTAGCATAGAAAGTCCCACGTGTTCCAGGAAACCCCTCACTCCGGGCAAACGGGGACAGGCAGTGACCCTACAGTGGCAGATGCTGTGATTCGTCCTCGTCATACTCCCCCAGTTCTCATCGAGTATTCTATCATCATCCCCACTTTATGGGGGAGGCTGAGCCAAGAGGCACCAAGGCTACTCAGCCAGGAAGTGGTGAGGCTAATGTTGGCATCTGAGAAGACAGAAAACATTATGCTGAGCAAAGAAAGCCGAAGGGAGAAGAGTGGGTGTTCTGTGATTCCATTCATATGAAACTTAGAAAGAGAAAGTAAGTGTGTAATGACTGAAAGCTGATATCTGGCTGCCAGCTGCCAAGCTGGCAGGCTGATCCCTTGTATTCTTTGGCTTAATAAGGCCCCTGCCCCTCTCAACACCCACCCCCCAAAACCCTAACTATATAAACTTCAGGCCCTGCAAAATCTGGAGCTGCCCCAGGAGCTGCTGTTGTTACTGCTGATGGGAGAGGCAGCCTGCCAGATGCCCTCTCTGCTGAACACAGCTGGAGAGGCTCTGCCTGCTAAGCTTCCTTCCTCTTATTTGGAAGTGACTGCAGCCATATCACAGCATCAAAGGTTTATCTTCCTTTATTCCGATTATGTCCTGATTATACCCAGATCATAATTTCTATATCCCCAGAATTCAAGAAGCACAGCACATACCACTATAAGAAAGCTTATGCACTGGGACATGGAGTGGAAAGTCCCAGGCTTACCTGCTTGATGGTGCCGCAGCCTGAGTAGGGAATTGTGAATATCACCTGGCTCGGTGTTATCTGAGGCCGACACTGGTAGTATCCGTTCCAGTTGGAAATGACAAGGTCACTGGCAGAAAAGCCCAGGGATTGGAGGTAGCTCCTGCTCACACTGGCTCGCATGTGATTCGGCAGACAGAGCAGGTCTAATGGACAAGGACACATAAGACACTCAGTCAGCGCCCCGGACTCCACAAGTATTATGGGGCCGGATGCTCTTTCCACTTAAAAAGTACACAGATCAGGGTGGCTGACAGGGAGAGTCAGCACTTAGGATGTGGGCATAGGCCTCATTGCAACCCCCAAGGTACCCTGGGGTCAAGCCAGCCCCATCCTTATGAAAGCCCAAGGAGAGCACGTGGAGTCAGGATTCCTCTGATGGAGAAGTGGAGGTGGGATTTTTAAATAAGTGGAATATTTGGCCAAGTTTCCATTTATCTATGAAGTAAAGTAACTGTATGGTTGAATTGTGGGGATGTCATGAAACAAGGTCTTTTAGCCACGAAGCAAGCCGATATTTAATCCTGAGTGCATAAGCCACCCTGCCTGGTCATTGGCCAATCTACACATCAGTCCATACAGCAACTCAAATCATGGCCATACAATCTCTGCTGGAAGTGGCTGAGTGACCTTATCTCAGCCACTTCCAGCCACTCAGCTCAGTTCATCTTCAGATAGAAGCCAAATGTGTTAGGTCTCAGGCCATCGTCACAGTGTCCCTCACTCTGAGAAAGTCACAGGTTTCAAGTCAACTGCTTACCTCTGCCTTTGGCACTGACTCATTACTCACTGCTAAGAGCATCATCTGAGACCTTCTACTTAGGTTATTACCCTTTGATGACCACAGTAAGGCCAATCATCATCCGTCAGCCAGTTCTAGCCCTGACTTCATTTCTGGGCAGCCAGAGTCCCAAGGCCCACTGCTCCTAGCCCCTTTCAGCAGGAAATCAAGCCCCGGTGACCTGAAAGGGTTCCTTCATTTCTTATTTCACAACCACGGGACAGTTGAGCCACAGAAGCTCTCAGGATGTCCCCAGTACCCCCAGAGCATTCCCACAGGGGGACTTACTGGTGCTGTCATTGGAAGGACTGGAGTAGTACTCAGCCCGGAACCCTCTCTTCGCGATGCTGTGGTCGCTGATGAAGCGAATGGACATGAAGTTGGAGGAGGAAGTGAAGGAGCCACTGGCCCCATCACAAACTCGAGTGATGAGAGGGGAACTGTGGTAAGGGCCGTCGAAAACTTCAATATAATCATAGTTGCAGCCGCCTTCGAGCCTGCAGAGAGAGGACACACAGTTTTGGCTTCATTTCCTCCCAGAATTTGATGCAGGGAGTGAGATCTCAGGGTGGGGTCACACCTCTGTGCCAGAAACTCTGACAAAGTTCATCATTGAAAGTCATAGTTCTCCTTGGCTGGGCACAGTGGCTCACATCTATAATCCCAGCACTTTGGGAGGCTGAGGTGGGTGGATCACCTGAGGTTAGAAGTTCAAGACCAGCCTGACCAACATGGTGAAACTCTGTCTCTAA